CATAATAATGTTCAAAATCAATATTTTAAATATACCATTCTACTCCAACAATGTAAAATTCAAAGTTTATCATTTCTAAAAATCATAATGTTCAACTGAGACAGCTTTTTATTACATGTATAGAGTATTTATTTTTATCTATTTCATTTGCATTTTAAAATTTAATGAATTGAGCCAATTCGAAAATGTATTTTATCAATATAATTTCAATCATATTAATGAAATATTAGTATTGTGTCTATAAACATACATATTTGGAATTTACAAAATTTAATTTGGTTTGAATTCTAATTTAAAATCAAAATTATTATTGTATTGTATAATTTTTTTAATAAAAAAAAAACTGTCATTTTTTTTCTCAGAAAAAAAAGGGGGGAGGTGTAGTATGTACGCATCCTTTCCCCATATTAGGCATAAACCACTAGTATATAAGCTTAGGATAATCTTCATTCTTACGATTAAACCTACAGTGCGCACATCTAACTGTTTTATTGTGTCTCCCGAACGTCACACATTACAATTGAAGATATTGTTTACAAATAAAATTGTAAAAAATCCCAGAATCGTGAACTTCGTAAAAACAAAAAAACTGCGCTGAATTTGAACAATACCAATAATACGCTTGAAAATCGTCAAGTGAGAGTCGATATTGAGCACTAAGAGTTCCGTACCATCCCTCTCTCATAATCTAAATCTTTCATCCCTCTTCAATCTCACTAATCTATGATTCAAAAATATCTAGGTCTAGCTCTATTACTGCGGGCCATTTATAACCTTGGACCCCGATAATCCTTGAAAGAATTTTTTAAGGAAATTAACANTTATTTAGTTAAGCATAGTGATTAATAATATTCTTTATAATAAAATAATGGTTTTTTGTAGCCTAATAAAAATAATAATATTGTAACTATGTTAATCAAAATTATAAATTGAAATGACTGTTCAGTTAATGAATGATAACCTAATTGTTCATGTGAAATTATTTCTTATTTTACTGTGAATTTCAATGTTTATTTGTATTTAATTATTAATTTGATTTAAATTACATAAATGTGCAATTCAATATAAGATTTGGTTTATCAGTTAATAACGAAATTATTCTAAAATTCTAAATTATTAAAATAACCAATGTACAATTTTTGGCAAAGTGTATTTAGAAAAAGTTATAATTTTTTCCAACCATAAAAAATGTAATTGTTATGTAACATTAATTTGGAATTAAAGTTATATCATTTTATCATACATAATATTAATATCATTTTAGTGTATTTTTTTAAAGTGAAAATTTATACAAAATCACTTAGTAATGAAATAATGTACTAACTTTTTTATATTGTATACTTTATACAGTTTCTACAATAATTGTGTTATTGGTATTGCTTATATTTCAACTTGATTATTTTACTATTTTATTGTAAATTCAGTTCAAGTTACTGCTGGTTTTATTTTTTTGGCTGACATTATGATGAAATTATTTGGAAATCTGTTTAAATCTTGATGTTACAAAACAGTAACATAATAATGTTCAAAATCAATATTTTAAATATACCATTCTACTCCAACAATGTAAAATTCAAAGTTTATCATTTCTAAAAATCATAATGTTCAACTGAGACAGCTTTTTATTACATGTATAGAGTATTTATTTTTATCTATTTCATTTGCATTTTAAAATTTAATGAATTGAGCCAATTTGAAAATGTATTTTATCAATATAATTTCAATCATATTAATGAAATATTAGTATTGTGTCTATAAACATACATATTTGGAATTTACAAAATTTAATTTGGTTTGAATTCTAATTTAAAATCAAAATTATTATTGTATTGTATAATTTTTTTAATAAAAAAAAAACTGTCATTTTTTTTCTCAGAAAAAAAAGGGGGGAGGTGTAGTATGTACGCATCCTTTCCCCATATTAGGCATAAACCACTAGTATATAAGCTTAGGATAATCTTCATTCTTACGATTAAACCTACAGTGCGCACATCTAACTGTTTTATTGTGTCTCCCGAACGTCACACATTACAATTGAAGATATTGTTTACAAATAAAATTGTAAAAAATCCCAGAATCGTGAACTTCGTAAAAACAAAAAAACTGCGCTGAATTTGAACAATACCAATAATACGCTTGAAAATCGTCAAGTGAGAGTCGATATTGAGCACTAAGAGTTCCGTACCATCCCTCTCTCATAATCTAAATCTTTCATCCCTCTTCAATCTCACTAATCTATGATTCAAAAATATCTAGGTCTAGCTCTATTACTGCGGGCCATTTATAACCTTGGACCCCGATAATCCTTGAAAGAATTTTTTAAGGAAATTAACATACTGACAGTAGCTTCACAGTTCATTTATGAAAACCTTTTATATGTTCGCAAAAATATAGAGCAATTCACGAAAAAGAGCGATTTGCATAACTTTAATACAAGAAACAAAAATAAACTTGCCGTTCCAAATTTCAGACTGCATAAGATTGGGAATTCATTTATGGGGAAATGTATTAAATTATTTAATAAATTACCACAAACTGTTGTAGAACTACCCATTCATAAATTCAAAGCACATATTAAAAGTACCTTAATGAAAAAGGGCTACTATAAAGTCGATGATTATTTAAAAGATAAAAATGTTTGGGATGCGTAACTGCCTAGCTCGCATAAATATTTATAACTATGTAGGTATTTTGAAAACCTGTAAACCTTTGAAAAAGAGGCTGACAATAGTGTCTGAGTTTCTTGCGCTGCTTCTTCTCAGCACTGGCCCATTTATTGTCCTGAAGCAGTGGTAGGGTTAATACTGGGACGTGTAAAGGTGCTTTTTTAAAGCCTACTTACAGAAATAAATGAGTTTTACCGAGTTTTACTGAGTTTTTACTGTAAAAGTATGTTCGAAATGGGTGTATGGGTAATACCCATTGGGTATGTTCGAAAATTCACAACTGTTCTTTTTTTCCCCGCAAAATACGCAACCCTAAAAACGAAAACAATGTTAAAATATAACGAATATCCTGGTTGTTTTTCTTTTCTCTGCTCGTAGTAGCCCTCGGCAATAAGTCGTAAGGTAAGTACCTACTGATGATGGAAAATTAAGCTAAAGCTAAATATTGAGGCATCATAATTAAAATATATACATAATATAGTTGTAATAGATAATTACAACAAAAATTACAATACGAGTTTTCTTGGAGAAAAACAATGAAACTTGAATAGGTACTATAGGTACTAGCTTTCCGCCTGCGGCTTCGCCCGCGTGAAATTTTGTCCGTCACAGAAAAACTTTATCGCACCCGTCCCTGTTTTAAATACCGGGATAAAAACTATCCTATGTCCTTTCTCGGGACTCCAAACTATCTCTATGCCTTTAATCAAATTCGGTTCAGTGATTTAGGCGTGAATACCACACAGACAGACAGAGTTACTTTCACATTTATAATATTAGTAGGAATTATAGTTGGTTTTTACTAGACTTTAGACATAAAAACTTGTAATTTACTTCATGAAGATTAACTTTATACTAAACTTGTACTGCTTGTACGGACGGATAATACAATGTATTCGTAGGATAACGTTCTTAGTTAGAAATGGCTAATTTAAAGATTGCTAAAGATTTCCAAGTCGTACCTACCTACCTTTAGAATTTCATTTTGTTTTTACCTCATTTATTTATTTTTGTTAATTGTTTGTTTTTCCATACGCATGTTTCTATAATTACGACGTTCCTTTGTTTCCCTCTTACACTTTGTTTTTAATTGCTTTTTGAATGTGTGAGTTAATTAAACTGGTGTTTACTCATTGTTTCAGTGTACCAAAGATAATAATATATTAAAATTTAGTTTTACGGGTTTTACTTTTTTTTGTAGCTGCTTACAAAAAAATTACTTGAAATCTGTGTTAGTTAATACATGTTTAGTTTAGTTTGCAAGTCAATTTTTTGTAAACGCGCTCTAACAAAACCGGTAAAATCTAGCATTGGGTTTTTACAAGTGTTTTTTTTTCTTTGTTATAAAAAAAAATTCCTCTTTCTTATAGTCAAATTCTTTTCAGTGTTTTACGACTTTTTGATTTATTAAAAAACGTCTAATTAACTCTAGTAAGATAATGTAAGTAAACTCATACACCTCACACATTGAACACTCGTGGTAAGCACACTGAAACGTAACGACGAATTTACAATATTACACATAATTAAGTATTATCATTTATTCAAATTAGAGAGTAAATATTGACATTTGAATCAACAGTTTACACTGTTGCTTGGTTGGTTTACTATTTTAGTTCCTATTACTGTTCGTTTACTTAAGTAAATTGGCAATTTTATACTAGTAAATTTAATTTAAGTCTATTAATAGTTATACACATGATTTCGACACATGTTAGAGCTCAATAACAGGCTTAATTAACTAATTAGATCACGTCTGATCACTCGGCATTGTACACCTATCCGCAACACTTGCTCATCCCTATGCTTTTTGTAATAAGGCTCACGCATTTCGGCGGCTGTACATCATTCATGGTGTCCATCGGCGGGTCATTGTCGTCAATGCTACGTGACCAGGGTAGCGATGCTCGAACGTTATCCTCCTAGTCTATGTTGGCCTTCTCAATGTCTTCATTGGCTACCATTTATGATATAACAAAGCACCATAAAATGATCCCTTCAAGTATAAAACATACAGCACCCGTCTACCCAGCATCAGTCCAATTGCAATCACAATGGAGTCAATCAAGTCAGTCGTGTTCTTGTGTGTGATCGTCGGGGCCGTGGCTGAGCTGCCTCGCTTCAGACCAGCGAGGTTCAGGTTCCAGCGGCAAGAGTTGGCGCCGACCACGACTGATTCGCCTACAGAGCCGACGACCGAGTCTGGGCCGTACGCTCCATCGGGATGGAAGCCGGCGGGGCAACCGTTCACGCTGCCGACGGAAACCGAGGCCCCCGTCGACCAGTACGGGCCACCAGCGCCTTACCCCGCCTCTGGATGGAAACCTGCAGGAGAGCCCTTCACTCTGCCCAACGAACCACCAGCGACTAGCTACGGCGTTCCTGACAACTCCTATGGAGCTCCGAGCACTGATGCGCCTACTACTGATAACCCTCAAGCGGAAAAAATAGAAGGGCCAGTGGAAGTCCAGAAGAGCGTTGGAACTTACTTCGTCCTGTTGCCCAATGGGCAGCTCCAGAAAGTGGAATTTATGACCGAAAATGATATTCAGAACATGAAATACACGGCTCGTCTACAGTTGCGAAACCCCGCGCCTCTGCTTGTGTTCCAACCTTGAAATACATTAAATTTTACCTAATTTAAACAATGGGTTTCATTAACATGACTCAGTGTATGTTAAATGCTATCTTTTACGTTTAAAGAAATTCTTAATTATTTATTTTAATTAAAACTACTACAAACATCTATTTTTATCTTTGCCTTATCGCACCTAAGGGTTATTGACCGTCATTATCGGAAATTAAAAATGATGAATCACTATAAAGTAAAATGTCTAATTGTTAACGCACCACAGCAAAGTTGCTCCAGTAGGTTTATTCAGCATTATTTAAAGAATATTAATTATCCAAAACTGGATAACCCGTGGTTAAAATATGCTTGTGGAGTGGGTTCACAATAGTCCATTAGCATCATCGGGGTTCAAACCCACGTTCCTCGGATCTCGATTTGGCCAGTCCCAATGCTAGCACCACTGGGCATTGTCGCTTCGATCATTTTACATACTTACTTAGATGTAATCGGTCAATGTTAGGTAGGTAATTAATAAATCAAAACAAAGCCTCCGTTTTAGTAGGTACTACAAACGGGCTTTAAAGTTTCTAAAAAAGCTGTTTACAACTCGAAATTGGCCGTTTAATGGTCCAATAAACTCTAAACCAGAAACTAAAGGCAGCGGCCTGCATCCAGTGCCTTCCTGCTGCCTTTATGCACCTTGTGGATGGACGTCCCACACTGCGTTTTCCGGTACGTGGGCTTCACTCCAAAACCTTGCTGCCCAATCGGCCGTCAGTTCTGCGTACTATGTGCCCTGCCCATTGCCACTTCAGCTTGCTAATCCGTTGGGCTATGTCAGTGACTGTCAATTACGTCGGCGTATGAACACTAGGTATATGGACGGCGATAGGAACGTTTGACGCTAACGTCGTTCGCCGCGTATAGCGTTTAATATGAGACCATAGCCTTACTGAAGCTATCTCAATTGTGGCAAAACCTCTGTTAATGTACCGGAACGCTCGCGATAATGCCTTCATTAATATCGCAGTTTAATTGCATCGCGCCCTTTGTCGCTCCCTGAGGGTTTGTTGATCCCACTTCTCATTCCGCGGTAGTCTGTTACAAATAATCTGTTTACTTTTTGTTTAAACATCTTCATTCTCTCAAGATTTACAGCTAAGACCACTAAAAGAATACATGTTAACTCCCGTATAACTACAATGTTAAAAGTTAGGTAATTTAGTGATATTATTATGGCAAAACTAGCTTTTGTCCGCGGCTTCACCCGCGTAAAATTTAGTTTTTCACAGATCGTCATAAATTATAGCCTATGTTATTCTGGGTTATAAACAATAATACTGTAAAGTTTCATCAAAATCCGTTCAGTAGTTTTTGCGTGAAAGAGTAACAAACATCCAGACATCCAGAATTCCAGACATCCAAACTTTCGTGTGATGTTTGTTGCCATATCATACTACATTGACAAAATCATGCAGAGACTCGAGTTGTAAAAAGCAATGGCATATTCACTTATTTTGATTTCAATATAAAAGTTAAACAAGCGCTAGACATAATTTCATTTATTATCTTACAATCTCAACACTATTTTTAAATATTTCTTCCTAGTATTGAGTAAATAGAGAACTTTTATGTCTCATTCGGCATTCAGGCTTCTTGGAAAGATGACCTGGAAAATAAAATGTTTACTTTAACAAGTGGCACATAGAAAGATTTTTTATGGATAACAAGGCACGTATTTGACCGCAATCGCACTTGGTGTTAAGTGAGATGCAGTCTAGGATGGTGCATAAAATCTGCCCTGTAAGTGCCTATTCACTCTCGCCTTAAAAAGGCCCGGATTATAGTGTTCGGGAATGAATACCTACGAAGTCATATTTAGGCTGGTTTGCGCTCTATTTAGCAGCATATATCAAATCAAATCAAATCAAATCAAATCAAAAATATTTATTCAGTTTAGACCACAAGTGGCACTTATGAACGTCAATAGAAAATAATAAAAAAAGAAAAGGTAGCCCTTATGGGGCACTTTACATGTCTCCTTATCTTTTGGGCCCTACCAGCGCTTCGAGACAAACATAAATGGCAAGTGCTGAGAAGAAACGCCGGAACAAACCATCATCATCATCATCATCATCATCATCATTTCAGCCATAGGACGTCCACTCCTGAACATAGGCTTTCTCCAATAATTTCCATATTGACCCATTGATATCGACATGCATCCAGCGCCTTCCTGCTACTGGTCTTTAAAAACCTTTTCAAAAATTGGTTCCTAGCGCACTAAAAATCTTTTTTTACTAACTTTGGAAGTAAATCTGTCAACATTCTTTATAAGTTTAGTGCTAAAAAATTTAGGTAGAGTCAGCGTCAAATAGTTCATGACACCCAAAGTGGCCAAAAACTTGACAATACAACCTTATTCCAATAGTAACGAAGAAGTGTTGCGATCTTTTTGGCTACTTTCGTTCGTTCGTTCGTTCGTTCGTTTCAGCCGAATGACGTCCACTGCTGGACAAAGGCCTCCCTCAAGGATTTCCACAAAGACCGGTCCTGCGCCGCCCGCATCCAGGCACCTCCCGCGACTTTCACCAGACTTTGGCTACTTTGGGTGTCACGAACTACACTCGGCATCAAATAAATCGCACCTCCCGTGACAAGCACTTATCAAACGTATGCATCCCTACTTCCCACCAACATTGGTACCATTTGAAAGACTAGTTTTAAACTTCAATTCATTAAAGGAAAGGTTTTTACCCCAAAAATGTGTCTTTACAAGGATCCAGAGTCACTTCTTCAAAAAATAGGTAGTTACGCTATAGCCATTTTTTATGACTATAAAACTGTTAAGTTGGGATTAATCGCTATCCATCTGTTAAAGAGGACATGTGAGATCTTTATTTGGTTTTATAACCATAAAAATTGGTCTAATTGATCCCAGAGGTGAGCCCAAAGTGAGGTCTATTTTCAAGTCACATTTATGGTATATGTTAATCATTTATTTAGAAATGAAATGTATTTTTCTTTAAGGATATTTATTGGGCTTTCAAATAACACCAATATTGTTGGGGTACCATGATTGTGTCAGAAGAAAATCTTTAAAGTTCGCGTCGCGGAAGGTGCGGTTTATTTGATGTTGAGTGTATTTAACGCTGACAATACCTACACTGGGAATGCATTGTGTTTGGAGGAGTCCTAGGGCACGTTTACCGCGCAAGGCACAAAGCATAGGTCAAGTAGTTAGCAAATATTCCAAATATGTATAACATAGTCGCGGACACAGAATTCCCGTGTCATCTCTCGTCGATGAAATGCACCTTATGTCCATGGCATTTAGAACGTCTTCTACATTTAGCTCGCTCACATTGTTACATGTAAGTAGGTATACCTAAGCTTCGCTTCCATTGCAACCGCATTCGTTAATGAACTACTTAGTGTTGGTTCTACTAATGAAGGAATCTTAACTAATCTACATTAGACAATTCTTTCCAAAACCCTTATTAAACGTATTTTGAGTAATAATAGAAATTACAAGTTAAGCATCAGCCCCACGGATCGACTTTTCAATTTCAACGTGACTTTATTATTATAGTACTACTAGTTACTACTAATAATAATTTTACTATAAGTCTATCCAATATAGCTTGATTAGAATGACGGCTGTCAAACGAATGTGACTAGTGCTGTGTATGTTTCGTACGGTTCACATAGATGTATCGATAAGTTTTCGAAAAAATGATATAAAAAAATGCACCCAATTTTTCTTCATATCTTTATTCATAAAAATGACAATTATGATTTAAATTTAAAGACAGTAAAATTTAAAATTCATGTCAAGGGTGTACAACCTAAGTCGTAGTCATTATCATCAGTGTTCTTCAGTGGTTTTTTCCTCTCGCTAGAGGGCGGTGGGCATCTCTTCTAGAGCAACGGTGCTATGAATACCCAAAAAATTACCGGTGATTGATTTCCGATGTTTGATTATTTAAGAATGAAATGTTTTTTGGTTTTTAATAGTGAACATTTAGAAAAACGTATAACTTGACTTAAATATGTTAAAAAATTAGTTAGAAAAAATTTTTGTTAAATATGTAAAAAAAATTGTTTTAATTTAATATGACATTTGTCGATATGTCCCAACACTAACATTTTTGTAACTCGAGATAACCTTGTAGAGACGTCGTTAATACTCTAGCTTGATTTTTATAATTTCGAATTACTACTTATTGAAAGTTACGCGTCGTGTCACAACGCTTATAATAAAAATGTACGAGCACTTGCACAAAATAGTTGTTAAAACCAACCTTGTGTTGGGTCTAATTCTCGTCACTACACTGCACAACTTAAAATAATTACGTTTTTTGTCGGTAAAATCGTCCTGGTGACGTCACTTAAGCATTTTTCTTATACTGCGTGCGGTCGTTGCGCGTGCGCACAAAGGAATGAGACCGCTCGGACACCGAGCCCACAGCGTGGTAGGGGTGGGGTTGCCCGCTCTTTTGTTTTTTACTACTACTGCGCTGAATATTGTGTGCGGATTGGCTTGTCGTACAGGGGTACTACATGGTAAAATAAATCTCGGAGGCGAAAGCAGGATAATTGGTGTAATTTAACGCTGCATTTACACGAAATTAACATTTTTATTGGAAGCACTGTCGTCGAAAATATTGTTTGTAGGTCAGACGTGAATTATTTCTTGTCCGCCAATATTTAGCTCTCATTGATCGCTACTACAAAGTTATGTCGTTACTTTTGATGGCAGCTGTCATTCTAATCAAGCTATATTGGATAGACTATAACTGTTCCGGCGAACTTTATACTGCCAATAAATAGTTGTCTTAACTTAATATAAAAGCAAAAAATTAGATCGTTTCATCAACGAAGACACGCTAGAATGGTGGGATCATTCTTCCGCTAATGTTTCAGTTACCGGTACACGCTAAATTATCCATGAGTGCACACGCACACTACAATAATGCCGCTTGGATTGCTCGGATCAAACTCCCCACACCGCGCTTCCCTCGACCAAAAATTGGTGGGGCGCGTCTTCGTGGATGAAACGATCTATATGCATCTTTCAACGCAGCGAACTTTACTCACTGTAATAAGCCATGCCCTCGATATAATTGTCTTTCACAATCCAGAAGTTGACAATCCACTGCACCAGCGCCCTGCAGCTGATGTAGGCAAGCAGCAGCGCTATCCAGGAGGTGTCCTTCTCCAGGCCTGAAGACGTGGAGGCCGGGACAGACTGGTGCGTCTTGTTCACAATCCTTATCGAGTCGCTGTCGGAATTTATGTAGTTCAGGATTTTTGCTGCAACAAAGTTATTCATACATTGGATCTTGAGTAAGCTGCGCTGTGGAAAATTTTCGTTGTAATTAGCTGTAAGTTTTCCGAAGAGCTGTAAAATAAAATAAACAAATATTTATTCATTGAACCTTGCGTAATAAGTTGTAGGGTTAGTTTTGTTAAATACTTATTGTCCGCAGCATTGCTCGCGTAAATATTTGCCTGTAAATTTACAATTTAAACATTTTAACGCATGTGTATTCCCATGTTCCCCTTTGCTATCCCTTTTGGAAACCGGTTAATTTCCTGGTCCACAAACTATCTCTCGATTCAGAGAAATACTTAAGCCTAAAACGGTAATCGAAAGATCATTTATATTAATTAGGGTCATGTCCCCTATTCGCGTAAAACGACGGATTACTCTTTAAAAACAAAAGAAAATTACCATACAAATAGTAACAAAGCCAGCTAGCATTTCCAGTTTTAATTGAAACATCAAAATGTGGCATGCCGCACGCTACAGGTGCCAGCTTATAGGTGAATGCACTGGTGGCACTCTGTGATTTAACTTTGACTAGTTTATATCGAAAATGTCCGACTGATTTAGAAAATACAAATTGAAAAATCACTATACTTGTTCCCAGTTTGACCCAACGTCATTAGACCCAACTAGATTGTTAAAGTTGTTGCAATTCACGGAGGCGAGTGAGTTTTACATGACTGTGTTACAAAAGTTTTGATAGACATTACACTATCGTTATGTGCATGTACACGTGCACACACAAATAAAGCTCACTCCTTCGTGAGTTGCAAAAACTATAACAGAATTTTTGCTAACTCGACTAACGTTTTATACTAATTACAGAACACATGTTAATTTACAGCCATTTTGTGTGCTGCCTTTTATTCAGAGTCTATCTTATCAATGGCTTTTATCCGACCAATTAACTTGCTATCCAGGCAATTTACAATTTCATTCTGTCAATCAGTATTTTTGTCTGTAATCAACAGGACATGTTTTATTTACAATTCAGTCTTTTTTGGGTATATAACCTCCTCCTTTTTTGAAGTCAATTACAAATAACAGGTCGTCCGTCACAGACGCATAATAGTGTATTTATGTTATATCCATGAACTTAGTAAGTATTCTAAGTCAATTTAGCAACATGTAAAAAATATTTTTTGTAAAGAAAGAGCCTATGATGATGAAATAATCTGAAAATAAGTTCAAAATTGTAATTTTCTTGCCCTAGACTTTAGGAATAGATATAGGTGTAATAATGTCAACTTGATTTTTATTCAACTAGGTATGCATAAAAAATATAAGCAATGCCATTTAATGCTATGAAAATGAACGGATTTTTTAAAAAATGCGTTTCATTGTGACGCTGTCGGTGTCCTTTATAAATATTTATTTGTGTACGCTTTGAAATTTTAAACAAAAAAGAACCAAACGTTTTTACGTAAAAGTTAATATTTTAAATGTTTACATACAAACTATTACTCCAACTTCTGCCACTTCCATCACTCTACATATACATACGAAGTTGCCGTTTTTGTCCACAAAAATACAGAACTTTTTAAAAAATCTGGTAATCTCCGATTAAGATGTCCTCAAAGACTAATACATAAAGACATACCGAGATCCACTAAATACGGAAATAGCTGTCTTTGCATGGGGATCCGTATTTATAACAAAATTCTTAAAGAAATAAAAGATCTTAATATAAATATATTTAAAAATAGACTACACAGGTGGCTTATGAACCATAGTTTTTATGAAATAAAGGATTTCTTGACATTCAAATATGTATAAATGTAATTTTTGACATAGCTGACATAATTAATTTATTGGACATTTTATTATTGTAAAACTGTACTGTACCTACTGTTGAAAATTGATATAATTATAATGACATTGTTTCTTTTTTATGTATTAATATTCAAACTTGCATGCTTCTTGATGTAGCAAAACATGTGGACTTATTTTATAGCTGTAACAACTGTATACCATGTTTTATGCAAATAAACAATTATTATATTCTATTCTATTCTATTCAAAAATATAATAGTATTATGTAACGGTATCATTATGCGTAATTGGAATTACATAATGGCAAGATATTTGTGGCTAAAATTATATGCAATGGATACCTTAGTAAATATGGTTGCCTGCAGTGACATGAAAATGGATTGACTGGGAAGAAAGACAGTGCGAGCGTTGGAAAAGATCGAAATACCCTAATGTTACTTTTAAAATTGCCTATGAAAAAAGTCAAAAGTAAAAATTTTAGTATTTAGGGTGCACAGAAAGTTGAGCTGCATATTCTGCAAACGCTACATTAATTGATCGTCAATATTGTTGCGACCAGCATCGATGCTAAAGTGGCACGTCTGCTGAGTCCCTAACATATGCATCTTTGGTGCACCCAAGCCTACAATCACAGGTGGCCAGTGAACGAAACACGAGCCGTCAAAGGTCGCCCATCAAAGGCGCCAATTATGGAGCCCACTATGCCCACTGACTTGGAACTTGAATCCAGAATTACTATCGTTATCCTATCTTATACTTTACTAGCTAACCCGGCGAATTTCGTACCGCCCTTTTCGATGCTAAAGTGGCACGTCTGCTGCGTCCCAAACATATGCATCTTTGGTGCACCCAAGCCTACAATCACAGGTGGCCAGTGAACGAAACACGAGCCGTCAAAGGCCGCCCATCAAAGGCGCCAATTATGGAGCCCACTATGCCCACTGGCTTGGAACTTGCGTCCAGATTACTATCGTTATCCTATCTTGTACTGTGTTTAAGTTTATACTGTTTTATCCGAGATTTCTGTGTTTTCGCTAATTTTCCCTGCGTGATAAAATCAGAAATGAGGAGATCCGTAGGAGATCCAGGGTGACTGACATAGCCCGCAGAATGTGGCAGTGGGCGGGGCACATAGCTCGTAGAGCTGATGGCCGCTGGGGCAGGAAAGTTCTTGAGTGGCGACCACGACCCGGAAGACATAGCGTGGGTAGGCCTCCCACTAGGTGGACCGACGATCAGTTAAAGGTCGCGCGAGGTGCCTGGATGCGAGCGGCGCAGAACTTTGTGGAAATCCTTGGGGGAGGCCTTTGTCCAGCTGTGGACGTCTTTCGGCTAAAACGAACGATGGAACTTGTGCAATTGCCCCTTTTCCCATCATTTTTTTACAAGAATACTTATCCAGTTAAGCCCTCGAACTAAGCTAAATAAACTTTTGTTAACGTGTGAATTGTGTCCCTTCACCGTTCTGCTATCATCGTGGCTTCGACAAAATACATAATAATATTTATTCTTTCAAAGTATTAAATTATTTCTTCACTCGAACCAAGCTATAATAACTACGTCATTTTACTCGTATTCTCATTCGTCTTCAAGCGAAACCTTTCGCTGTTATCAGTTAGAATTCCACACGGTATTCCAGTATTTCCAGAATTATTTGCAAAGTTCCACGTGTTCAAAGCAGATGTGATCCAACTTAGGTAGTTTATCTCATAACGTTATCAGAAGTTCTAGCTCAACCCCGCTTCTTATCAAAAAGATCAGAATCCGAATAAGGTTGAAGATTGGTTTGCGGTAAGCGGTAAACGGCATTTATAACTTATAACTCGTCTTCGTGCACAGGTCTAGGAATTCTCAAATTATTTCTCATAGGCAAGAGCTTGTGAACTAAGATTTTTAATCTAGTCTGGTATAATAAAAATGTAGGTTAAATTATTTATTCTATTTTATTTTTCTTTATTCAGAAATTACGAATAACTTTTCTTTGTCTGTATCGCTAGAAAAATAGTTTCATAACAAGAAAGAAAATAAGGTTGTGTTTCTTGTAGTTGACAGCTTATGTGTAAATAATACAAAATACTTACTTAATTCTAGCGATTCTGAGGACTTACTTTTTTGGCCATCTCTTTTAGCCTTAAACATATTTTATCCTTTTCTAAAGATCATCTAGCTTAGTACGGGGGTAAACGGGACTATTAGTAATTTTTATAACACTTTTTTTAAATAGAACAATAATTTCTGAGTAAAGCTGATTGTGTGTAAAAGTGAGCTAAAGCCAACCTTCAGTGCTGGTCTTTCTCGCATCCATCAAGAACATGGTGGTGTATACCAGGTCCATGACCAGGATCGCGAGGCCGGTGAGGGTGAAGGGCATGAGGGTCACGTAGAGGCCGCAGGGCCGCTGGCCCTGGGTCATGTAGGCGATGCCGAGGACAGCCCATATGACGTGGAGAGAGAGCCATGCGCAGATCTTTCTGGAAATAATATGAAGTTCAGTGTTAGAAATCTCTTGGTTGTACACTTCTGTCATGCTAGCGATATAAACAGTAACTCAATTTTTTGGCAAAACTATAATGAGCTCTATCAGATGAACTGACAGTCAGGCGTTTTTTTAACAGCAAAAAAATGGAGTTTCTGCTGATTCACTAGTATGGCAGACTTGTTATGGTTGTTATTTACATTTTTGTGGCAGTAAATGCTCTTTTACAACAGACTAGCTGTGCTCGTGACTTCGAAATAATTTGAATAAAATTCCCGTTTTTGCAATGTTTTTCATTGCTGCTCCACTCCTATTTTGGTCATAATGTGATGTTATGTAGCCTAAAGCCTTCCTCGATAAATGAGTTATTATCAGTTTTCATCATTGTATCGAATCGTCAAGATTTATAAATACCAATCAAGAAACAATGGAACCTGAGATCTTTCCTTTTCAAGTTTCTTTCAACATTGGTTAAAACCATTTATTAACGTCGTTACAAATAATTAACTTTTTAAAAAAATAAAACCGACTTCAAATGCGTGAACACAAAAAAAACTAAAAATTAAAAATATTGCGTATAAAACAGTTCATCCCCAATTTTCCACCCTTGGGGGTGAAATATTTTTTTCAAATTCGCATGAAACCACCCTTTTGATAATACCTATTCAACAAAAAAATAATCGTTCAAATTGATTTATAATCGGCGGAGATATTGCGTATAAAAAAGTTCATCCCCAATTTTCCACCCTTGGGGGTTGTTTTTTCTATTATTAAATTTAAATGGGACCACCCTTGAGGTATTACCTATACGCCGAAAAAAGATTTGTTCAAATCGGTTCATAATTGGCGGAGTTATCGCGTAACAAACATAGAAAAAAAACATACGGGTCGAATTGAGAACCTCCTCCTTTTTTGAAGTCGGTTGAAAAGATGCTATTTTCGCTGTGGCTATGTTTTATTTTCGATACCTTAGTAACTGACGGATTTGGAAAACATTGCGAATAGTCGTGTTCCAAATAAATCGGTTCAGAGGAGCAAAAGCGAATGTCGATGAAATCGGGATATTCGCGAGAATCAAAATTGAACTGACGCCTGTCGACTTTTTTTCAGTGAGATTGTGCCACTTTGATATTATCTGTTTCTATTGGTTTCGAGGTTTTCTATGACTATGGATTAAGTAGGTAATGTTTAAAATATACGTTGCTGATTCCCAAGCTAAGCAAGACTTGTACAATAAACAAGGTCGCGGGTTAGATTTCCGCACAGTACAAACATTTGTGTGCATGAACATACTTGTTGTCTGGGTGATTTCCATTTATTGTATGTAAGTATTTACAAAAATAAAGTAGGTATTTATAAGTATGCTTGTTTATACCCATTGTCTAGTACCCATAGTTACAAGCTTTACTTAGCTTGTGACAAGAGACGCAGCGTGAAATTTCCAAGGATTTGTTTATTTCATAAAGATATAGAGAGATGCAAACTAATGCGCTGAGTTCGGAACTCAGGGTCACATTATTAATTCACACACAAAGTAATCAAAATATGTGCTTATTATCCACTGCGGTATCAGTACTCAACGTTCGAATAGTCTTACGTACTACGCAAGCAATGTAAACTGTGTACGTCCCTGCTGTCACGAGCAATGTGTTCTGTTTTTGGGTATATTGCTGCGACACCGTTTCCGCCCTCTTGTCACATCTCCCTTTAGTTTCTGTGTGTCGGTTTATTTGCTACACATACATACCCTCGAAAGAGCGAAGCGACTTCATTCTTCACCGGCCACACTATGCTCGAAGAAGGCACTGGGTAGGTCCTGGTGTAGTTGTAGAAGTAGACCCGGCCACAAGCCTCAGGGTCGTGGAGGTAGAGCAGCTTCAGCAGCGTCACCTCCTGCAGCTCGCCCTCGGTCGGGGGCAGCTTGCAGCTTAGGATCAACCAGCTTATTATGATGCTGAAGACCGCTGGAACATTTATGAGCAGATTTGGAGAAAAATACTAATGTCTTATTGATAAGTAATAGTTAAAAACAAACAGCAACATCTTGAAAACTGGTGACTAGCATTGATACTAAACTTTATTATAATAGCTTAACTTTGATTGCAAGTGAAGTAATTTTGACCAAAAACCTGCCTGATTTTGCTTAAAAAGAATTGGCCAAGACTCTTAACTGATTTATGATTCAAGTGACTTGGTGAAATAATAATAAATTAAACTAAAATTAGGTACTTACTCTGGTACAGAACAGCAAAAATCGTCCAAAATGCTAAGGAGCTCATTGCAAACAACAATGAACGCTCCAATATATCAAATCGATTGGAAACTTTACTTCCGAGCAGCGCTTCCCACGATCTAGTTACGACAAACAAATTTCAAGAGGGCCACGATCCAATTTTCCGTCGTCGGAATTGCCCTGTCCCGTATTTTGATTACAGGTAAACTCCAAAATTAATGACTGCCGACTCCGCGCCGAGGTGATAATGAAAAATTTAATAGGACAGTCCGCTCAAATTGAATATCCACAAGAATAGAATCGTCTCATTCCATTTCGCATTACGAGAACGTTAATATTTTTGAGAAATTGCCCTTTTAATCTCGGCGTCTTGCGAGAGATATAAATGGGTTAAAATTTACAATGTAAACGATGAACAATATTTTAACAGCAGACGGCACAAATTGTGTTAATTATGACTCGTATTGTAAAATACTCTGGATAAGACATTGGTCTTGACGAATGGTTTATTTTCACCGGTTCTGTAGTAGAGGACGGACGTGTCGTCCGGTTGATGGTGGCTCGGTTCTGGGATGGGATGGTATGCTATCCTCCCGATTCTTGTTTTAACTTCTCTTTTCCTGATCCTTCGCCTTATATTGTTAACGACTGTGCAACAGTAGATGTTCCATATTAGTATGATGACTCCTCTCATCCAGAGAACAGATGCGATCATGGGTAGCCAGCCCGCAAAGTCATCGTAATTCTTCAGCTTTAATTCAACACTCCAACCGCTATATCTAAGGACCATGCCCTTGGTCAAGCTTTGCTGGATATGGGCAATGTAGACGACAGCCATAGAAAGGTCGAAGATAACTACTGCAACCGAGTAGTAGAAATATGTTGTGAGAACGAGCTTGAGAACGCCCTGGTCTCTGTTTTTTCTGATGACGATGTTCATAATGATGGCGAAGACCAGCCAAAATACGTGCACTCCAATACTGAGTTCTATGTACCTTTGGAAAATAATTATTAAGAAGTATAAACAAATATTACGTTTATTAAAAAAATTTCTACTAATAATACCTTGTACTCACTTTCTGGTTTTCGAAGTCAATCTGGTTGACACTGTCACAAGGGCTTGTTTCCATTGGATCGGTCGTACATCAAGGCCATGTGTATCATTCGGAAGTCGAATGTTAGACAGTGCGGAGGCTGTTCGCAACTTGTACTCGCAGGCGAAGTGGTCATACAAGTACATGATGCGGGCCAGCTTATCGAAGTCCAAGTTGGAATTGTCCGGAGACCAGACACAATGGAGTATCGTGCCAGATCCCACGAATACTACTATACCTGGACAGGCAGAAAAAAAAGAATAAATACTGTCTCAAATGAAAATACATTGATTTAACTTGATCTTGGTAGTACACTCATGCGAAGGGTGCACATGCGATCCATGATAGAGCAAGCAAGCTCAGGATGGGTGTCTACTTACTAGTGACTTAAAAAGCTTTTGCCCTGTATGAGTTCGGAAGAACTGACATTACTTAGTAGGAAATTCCACTCCTCGTGTGCACTTACGCAGTGTTCATTGTAAAAAAGATAGCAAATCGCTTGGCGCATAGTATTTCGTAGGTAGATGAATTTTTGCTCACTACCTACTTTGAATTTTTGCTCAATTGAAGTACTTTCATGCATCTTTTGGATTTATGGCTTACACAGCATTTCTAGAGACACATTTTAAGTAAAATAATAATAAATTTCTTTATTAATCATAACATAATACAGATACTTTAAAAAAAGATCTTTACTTGCTTTGCTTTCAGACAAATTGTATGTGAACCACGTTACCAGATATTGTCTCTTGTTGTGGTAGATGGATATGTGACATCCTAACTTATGTAGGCAACTATAAGACTCACCAAAGCACAAAACTTTGCACTTACACTGAATAATAACGGAGTTAGCGATCCACACACACTTCCTCCTATCCCAGGGCAGCACAGAGAGTGGTATTGCTTGGATTTGCAAACTTTTCCTTAACATTTTAACTTATTTTATGGACGTTACTCTTATTTCAAATGAATTGGGAAATTAATTCCTCTTTCCATGGTAACCCAATTTCCTTTTCAGTGAAAGTCGATTTCAATTAATGTTATCATAATTTTTGTGATATTTAATTACACGAATCGTGGTTCTATTCATAATCAATATATTTGACAAATAAATTGTTATTGTCATTTAAATTGTCAGGAAAATGACAAACTGATGACTTAACACCTTTTTTACGTACACGTAATAAGGTTTTGATTATTTTGTATGAGTAGGCATCGAGTTTATCAATGGAGAGAGGTCATGTACCAGATTCTTTAGCAAAAAGCGGACAAATTCCATTTCGTAATCAGAAAAGCTTCGAAACAATGCTCTGTCTTTTTCTCTGTTTGAAAACAGAGTTGCATTACGCAAATGGGAAGAACATAAAGTATTGGTATTTCGCTCCTTTTGCCTTCATTTGACCTGGCAGCATTAAAGGGTACAGTTCATTACTCGCTTCGTGTGACCCATTTGTGAATCGCATCAAGTCGGGGAAAGGAAAAATTTATGCTGACAAAGCTTTTCATTCGAAAAAAATAAAATCACAGGCATTAGGTAAAAAATACCGTTTAGGTCGATATGCAAAGAAACAAGTACACGTAGGTTAATCAAGTAATTAGTAGTCCTGGCAAACGTTATACTCGTAATAATAATGTATGATAAAAAAATAATCGTTATTAAAATTTCATAGCTAATTAGAGTCGCTTCTTAACGCGGCCATAACAGCGTATTACATTTGATCGACTATTTCATCCAGTGTTTAAGTACCTCAGTTGGAAGAGGAGTCGCCTGGCAAGCGAAAGGTCGTGGGTTCCATTCCCGCCTTAGGCTGGTTTTAGTGTCACGCGGACCGTCAGTACGGATCGCTCCGCACAGCCGATCCGTATAAACTGCTAGGGAGCGAGCGGTTCCTGCGGACCGCATTACTCTAAAACGCTCCCTAGAATAGAAGTTTTAACAGATCGGCTGTATCACAGCTGTATGCAGCGGATCCGCACTGGACGGTCCGCGTGACACTACCAGCCTTAGGCAGTTCGATTTTTTCAAGTTGTTTATTTCAGTATAACAAATCTCGATTGACCCATGATGAGCTAAATTAAATGCAACTTCAAACACCTAAGTAGATACGGTCTTAAATGTACCTCGCGTAGCATGATGAAGGTAGCAAGACGTAGTATAGTCCATGCAACTTTTATACGATGCAATCTATCAAACAAAGGCGCGTCTAGCGAAGCTATAAATCTGGAAGTTGGTAACTAGATGCCTTTGCAGCGTCGTCAGCTTAGAGGTGTCGGTTAATTAAAAGGCGAAGGTACTGCACTTTTACGGGCTCCAGACAGACGAAGTTTACCTACTGTTGTCTAGATTCTAGACCTTTTTGACACCCCAGGTAGTACTTATTATTATTCTGTGCCCGAGGGTTAAAACTTTAAAGCACGTCTATGTTTCGTACAGTCAGCGTCAAATAGTTCGTGGCACCAAAGTGGCCAAAAAGGTGTAAATACAACCTTATTCGAATCGTAAAAAAGACGTGTTACGAAATTTTGGGCCACTTTGGGTGTCACGAACTATTTGATGCTGACAACATAGATCTTTAATAAAATCCCGCTTAATACGACTACTAAATGCCTCAGCGCTCCTGCACACGACGCCGCCACCGAGCCGCCGCCGCCGCGCCGTCGCGCACCTACACTGTTCATTGAATACGCACCGCGCCATCAAAGCATAATTTCGCCAGCGGCGCGGCGGCGGTGCGGCAGCGGTCTTCACGCGGCGCGTATAAGCAGTGCAAAGACGCGGGGGCAGTGCGACGGCGGCGCGGCGGCGGCGTCGTTTGCAGGAGCGCTCAGTGTTTAGCTTGTCTTCTAGTTACGAGTAGTAGATAGTCTACTTTAGCTTAGTTCTTTTATATTAGATTGGATGTGATATTTTTCCTATCATACTTTTCAGTTGACAATAAGAGAGAACTCGTAATTCAATGCGCATAATAAATGTTCAGCACAAGGACAGCTCAGAAAAATATTGCTAACATATTTTGTTCAGGCATTTTTTAACGTTCGCTTTACAGCCATAATAAATCGTGTGTGGACTTCAAATAAGCCTAAAATAAATATTACGTTGAGGCTGCTAAAACATAAAATAGTGAGGTAATAATAATAACTTACAGATCAATCGTGCTGCTGCGTGCTCTAGGGTCTTAAGTAAATCTAAGTATCATCGTTTATTTAGACTTATCATTATACATATATTTTTCAATGAAATTTATTTTTTAATGAATAAATTTCATTGAAAAATATTACCTACTAGCGTAACATTATAACTTAATGTTTAGATTGTGGTTAAATGCAGACTTAAACATATTAAACCGTCAAAGTTTTAAATAAATTACAACACTACAAAGTAAATAAATCAGGTGCCTCATTTACTTTACCGAACTACCAGAGAAAATTGTCAAAAACCAGTGTTTAGCTTACTCGTTCAAAATTTTCAATTTACAGACAGCACACGGGATTAGTTGTCGAATTGGCTGATTTCTATTCAAATGGGCATTTGGGAGCGGACTGTTGTTTTTGCAAGTTTGCTCACGGGAGCAATGTTTACCGGGCGCATCGTTCGATACAATCGATACTAACTACATGGGGGCTGCCACACGATCTCTCACAATCTCTCTCACACGTTACATTTATATCACCAATATCAACAATCACGTCGTAATAATATGTCGCAAAGATATGGAATCTCAAGGCAGTTTATTAACTGCTGTAATTCATCGTTTCAGTCAAAGGGCTCTACACTGCTGGAACAAAGGCCTCTCCTGAGGATTTTCACAAAGACTGGTCCTGCGCATCCAGCGCTTCATACTATGAGCTATATCAATGCACACTATGTTACCAATGTGCCTACTAAAAATGAGAAAAAAATCAGCCAAAACATTGTAAGATTTTATTAATTTTACTCTTTAGAATTAAATTCAAACATAATATTAAAATTAACATGTGTTTGGTACGCTAGACTTCATTAGTTATGACAGAAAAACTTTATTTTAACAATGGGTTAATAATAATACTCGTATCCTACGGAATTAATTATGCATTAGCGTCTTTACTATTATAACTTTACCTAACATTAAAATGTGTGATCAGGTGGTATAAATATCACATACTTAATATACTAGTACAATCTATTTTTATAATATTGCGGGTTTATTAACTACCTGCCTATTATCACTATTATGACGTGACCCCGTGACGCACTTTTCGCATTATCGGGTTTATCTGTCGCTGTCACTCATCAAAGTATTTAGTGAGTGAAAGAGAGGTAAACAATCGAAATAGAACTTTGACTTGCAGAATAGCTCGGGAATCACGATCGAGTGTTTCGAAATACTGGGTTGTGATCCGACTTAGTGATTGGGGCTGATTTACATATTACTAGCATTGTCGTCCAAATACAATGTAGTTGCACTGGCAATGACATTTGTTATACGACGTGTACACTACTATACATACATAGGTCATTGTCCGTTTATATTACCGATTCCCGCGACAAAAATATTTCGAGCGACAAAAATATGGACACACGGGTATTGTAGGCAGAATGGTATGTTTATTTATTCACTATCTAGTGGATCGGTGGTAAGATTGAGACTTGACACGGGAGGTCTGGGTTCGAGTTCCTGATTGGACAATGGACACATAAGTATTATTATTGTGTAAAATCAGTGTGTGTGCAACGTTGAAGGCTTGATTCAACTTGGTTGTTTGAAATATACTTAGTCATGAATTCGTATTTCGGAAAGCAAATAGTGCCATCCACCAGTCCGATTGAAATAACAATAATGTCAAACAACTATGGGGGAGGTTGTGAAGCTTGAGCTTATGGTAATTTATGTGATGTTTAAAAATATATTTATCAAATGGATTCACCAGGTTAAATATTCTTTAAGTACCTATAATCATTTGAGTTCAAACTTCTTAGGTGATTATAATAACAATGATAATGCTTTTCTTTATAGTATCCAGCATGCACTACTTAGCGATAGTTTGCGACTTCCAACTTATCTTGATTACAAAGTCGCTTCTACTCTAGCCTCATCATAGTCCTCATAGTCCCTCCATCCTCCATTAAACTTAGTAAAGTCCCAGACGAAGATCGTAATAAAGTAACCCCTATCAACTAAGTACAAAACATGTCTATCGCAGCACCAGCCAACTCCCACCTGGAGTTAGACGCGGATAAATTGTATGGCTGACCTTCTATGAATAAATTTGCGTATCCAGGTAAATATATTCAGTTTTACTCGGTTATTGTTAGGCCGTATTAGAATTTAATAAAAACTTTCTGAAATACACCGGATCGGGGGGAATTGGTTTGGGAAATCTGACGTACTCACGCAAAAGCCCTTTACATGCTTCAGCTTGGAGATTTTTATGCGTTTAATTTATACCTTGATTTTTTAGAATCCAGCAGAGATGTAAACAAACACTTTCATACACAATTACACCATAATCACTTACGTGTTCATAATATCATACACATTATTTAACAAGCCCATGAAACCAACTTTATTTTCACGTTTATACAAGTTTGAAATCAATCTTTGAAACAAATTATTTTAGCAAAATACGTGGACGATGAAAATTTGTGAGGCTTGTCAAATTGACTTGACGTTTAAAATCATGTGTTATCTCCATATTGTCTATGACTTGTCTCTGACACATCAGTGCCGTAACCTGTGAGTCATAGACAATAATCTGTAAATTTAATCGATATTATTTTAAGTATTCACTTATTCCGATTACTGATTAATTTTAAATAAAAAATATACGATACTTTGTTTAGTTTTCCAGCGATAACTTCGACAATATTAGAGATAACGTAAATTTATTTTTCTACTTTTAGTGTTTACTTTTTCGGAGTCAGTTTAATTTTTAGTCGGTTTTATTTAAACG